TATGTCAAATAAGTCCTTTAGCTCAAAGGTCTGGTTCACTTCTGCTACTTCTTTGCTAGTTTTTTTGTCTGCTTGACCTATCTTTTTGGGTTAAGGGGATGTTAAGTTCCCTAATAATATTGTTGTATTGGATATTAGATTTTTCATGTTGATTAGGATTTGTCTTATATATTTAGGTGCTCCTGTGTTTGGTGTTTTACATATTTATGACTATTACCTCTTCCTTGTGCATTTTCCCCCTAACCTATATGTAGTGGTCTTCTTTATTTCACTTGATCATTCTTTGTTTGAAGTTGAGACTGTCTAAGGATAGGATTGCTACCCCTGCTTTTTTCTGAGGTGCTGCGGCATGTAGTATTATTTTCCATCTCTGGCTTTCAGCTTATGAGTTTCTTTATGAGTTAAGTGTGTTTCTTGTAGACAGCAGATTGTTGGATATCATTTCCTAATCCACTCTACCAGTCTATTTCTCTTAATTGGTGAATTGAATCTATTTACATTGATGGTTATAATTTAGATGTATTGATTTATGATTGACATTTTATTTACCTGCTGTTGTATGCCTCTTTTTGTCGTTTCTTCAGTTGTTTGCCCTATTTGGTGAGTTCTTTCCATTATCATTTGTGAAGTTGTGGTCATTTTGGTCCCTCTCTAGAACATCTTTTAGTAGTCTGTGTAGGGTTGGCTATGTCATCATGAAATTCTTTAGTTGTTCTTTGTCATGGAAGTATTTCACTTCTCCACTGAACTTGAAAGAGAGTTTTGCAGGGTATATCAATGTGGGTTGGAGTTTGTTTTCTTGCAGAACTTGTAGTACTTTGCTCCATGGTTTTCTTGACTTGATGGTTTGTGAATGGAAATCTGCCCTTATTCTGATGGGTTTTCTTTTAAATGTGATGTTTCTTTTATCTAGAGGTTTTAATACATTGGTCTTATGTTGAATTTCTGGGATCTTGATTATTGTATGTCTGGGTGTGTTTTTAATTGGGTTGATGTTGAGTTTTATATGCTTCAGTTACCTGAATGTTAGACTGTTCCTCCATATTTGGGAAGTTTTCTGCTATTACTTTGGCCCATATTCTTTTT